AGTCCACAACTTGTTATCGGTAGTGAGTTTTGTTTTAACTCAGCTGTCCGTTTTCCCTCATTTTCCCGTCCCTTATTTGTTTTCAGACACCTTTCTGAGATTATAGTTTGTGTTACATCGACAGGTTGCCGAAAACAGGTACACGTCACCACCTAACGCCCCGTGTGATCGCTGTCGATGTTGTTGGTAAAAACATTTAATCAAGACAACCACGGCTGCTTTGGCACCACTCCCAGCGAAGGTCTAGCTTGGTCAACAATGCAACAGCGCGATCTTTACCAGCTAACCCTCCCACACTGGCTGTGTCCGGCTGCTGGTCGAACGAGCAGTCGGAGCGGTCCCGCACATCCCCTCCCCCTCCTCACTCAAACCCTGTCGTCATCAGAAAGTCACCTGCTCGATATTCTCCAGGAAATTTAGGACGTCCCCGGCGCGCGACGAAACACGCCACAACCGCGTCACAAAGCACACCGCTATCGTATCACAAACCACGCCCCGTCACGCAGCACGACCCGCTGGGTCCACGAGCACGCGTCAGGAGGGTCGCGGAGCACAGCCGGGTAACGGAGCACGGCGCGCCAGGTACGGGAGCACGGCGCGGCCGGCGGGCGGCGGCCGACAGAACAGTCCGGCGCCGCCGAGCGCGGCGGCGGGCACGGGGAGGGGTTCGGCGCGAGGGCGAGAGGCCTGCGGGAGCCGCGGCGGCGTCAGAGGCGGCCGCTGTTGTTGTTGGCCGGCCGGCGGCGGCGGGCGGAGCACGCGGCCGCGCGCCGCTCGGCGCCCGACTGGCAGCACCTGTGTCGCGCCGCTGTCAACACTTGCCTCGCAAACCTGGCACCCACTGTATCGTGGAGTTGGCCTCGCTCGTGTCCCAGGCGTCGTGAAGGTGTCAACCATTGTGTCGGCGAGTTGGCAGCAATGGTGTCGGCGAGTTGGCAGCAGTGGTTTCGGCAAGTTGGCAGTGACAGTGATGGCGTCGGCGAGTTGGCGGCAAATGTGTCGAGGAGACGGCAGCACTTGTGTCGGGGAGACGGCAGCGCCTGTGTCGGGGAGACGGCAGCGCCTGTGTCGCGGACTGGCAGCGCCTGTGTCGGGGAGACGGTAGCACTTGTGTCGGGGAGACGAAGCGTTTGTGTCGGGGAGACAGCAGCGCCTCTGTCGCGGATTGGCAGCAGTTTTGTCGCGGAGGCGGTCACGAGTGCGTCGAGGAGATGGCAGACATCGTATCGGAACCTGGCAAAGATTGCGTCGGGGAGGTGGAATCACTGAGGTCGGCCTATCGCTGCCAGTCAGCACGGGAGCCGAGCAGAGTGGTGGTAATCGTGTCAGGCAGGTCGCAACACATGCGTCGGAAAAATGCCAAGGAAAAGGGAAAACACCGATAAAATGACGACGAGAAGGCACAACTGATTGTAGCACCTCAGTCAAGGAAACTTTTGGAACATTTGCAACACCCACCCTACAAACAAAGCGAGCTCATGGTGTAGGCTATTTGATCTTCGACCGAGCCGTGACACACGCCGAGCGCGCCATCTCGGCTCCCCGAGCCGGCGGCCGGCTATTCATCCGTCCGCGCGGATTCGCGGAAGCGCTCCGATGACGGCTGCTAGTGAGCGAGAGGTTGCCGCCTTGCCTTGGCAACGTGCGCTTTTATACACCTAATCACTAACGCATGTCTGTGCATGCGTGCGGTGCTGCCTCCGCTGTCTGACACAGCAGCTGAAGCGCGGCAGCAGCTGCTGTTCATGAGCATGACTCTCAGGCTGGACCCGTCCCGCGCCCGGAGCGAGCTCCTGCAGACCACCGCCCAACGACAGCCGCCCGCCCCTCACAGCGCCGGTCGGACCGGCCGGGTCGACATGGCGGCGCCGCTGCTTGTTCCACAGGCCATCAGGAGCCAGGAGGTGTTCCGACCGGCACGCCGGACGACGGTGGCGCCACCCCGGCTCAGCGGAGATGCCGGGGACCCCGGCCGGGCCCGGTCACCCCACAGCCTCAATTAACGGAAGGTCGGGCGGATCCACTCACTGAACAGCAGAGGAGCACTGCGAACTGTACCTCAAATATTCCCAGCCCTTCTCGCAGCTGGAATGCCTCGCCCATGACAAGGCTGAAACGAATTTTCTCTAGCTCACCGGGCTATTTTCGGATTTCTAGATCCTGCCCAGAGCAATCGCTTCTACCTAGTTCCGACCCCCCCCCTTCCTCTCGCGCCACCGGTATAGTTTGGAGCGCTTTTTGGTCCCCTTAGGCTGTTCTAATGCCAGTGGTGGCCGTTCTGTCCCATGATTTCCATTTGAAATAGTTAACTCACGACAATGGTAGACGCCCTACGAGTACATGGCAGTAGTAAAAGCAAGCGTCCGGTGCTTCAATGGCGTTCGCCCCCTCTGAGGGGGGAGGGAGAAGGGAAGACGAATGACCTCCAAGCACGCTCCTTCGTGTAAGCCACTGGCCTGTGGCACACCTGTGCTGACCGACAGCTCTTGTTGGTGTCTCTTGAACCGCCGCAGGAGGAAATAGGGTTTTGTGAGGCTCAGTCTAAAACTTTTTAACATGACAACAGTTCACCTCAAGTCTTCATTTTTCACCGCATTGTCCCGATTTTCTGGGAAGATTGTTTCTCCACTATCCACAAGAAAGTTAAAGTCATATCATGCCATAGAATAACATGTATGCTGAATTATCCCCTGGCACCTTCCATCACGTCCATCCTCACAAGCCTGACAAGACTCAGTGTTAAACGCAATGGCACGCGACGTCTGGACAATACATACCGGTCATCCCCGGAAAAACGAGCGACAGTCGCCTTGTAGTGTCCTGTCAGTTTCAACACGGACATCGCGGTACACGTCCGGACGTTCAGATGCGGATACTGCCCGTTCAAAGGTACCCGACGTCGACGATGGCGTCCAAATAGCTCGATAACCTGCGCGATCTTAGCTCACAGTTGGAAGTAAGAGCAGTTCGTAACCGACACATCAGCCGTAGCTGCGCGTACTGTTGAGACAACAAACAACAAAACGAACTAAAACAACAGCCAGTTACGGCAAGACTGCTCCACCACCGCCTCTCCAGTTATCTCCATTTCAGAGAACCAGCTATCGCGTTCAACTTGGGTCCGCACCACTCGACCAATGATATGCGGTTTCGCTAGCCGCTATCAGCCTGGGGACCCCATGATCCGACGACATAAAATTCAAAATCGCTGATAAAATAGTATGATGAGAGTCGAAAATTAGGGTTGCTTTTGAAAGTCAGACCACTCACAAAGTAAGCTAGACTGCGCTTTGATCGCAAAACATGGCCAACGCTTGTCATCATCTTACCAATTACGACAGGGATGAGCTCCCGTAAATTTCGCAGACAAAAAAATGTACAAAAATGAGTCCTCGTTATAATTTTGGCGCCAAAGTCCCCGGTAAGGCCGTAAAGGTCGTTCGAATGAAGCCTTAACACATTAAGGTGTCGAAGCTTGCCTTGCTCAGCGGGTCAAATTGGACCGCTTTGCTAGCGTTTCAGGGTGCCGACCAAACACAGTATTATTTCAAGCAGCGCCGTTCGAAACTTCGGAAAACCCACGGAAACGGAGCTTTCTGACAGCATCGGCCACCGAACGGCATCTCACGGGCCGGTGGATAAACAAAACCATGGCCTCCACGGTACTCGTTGGTGTTCCAACAGAACGCATGTCCAGGTCGGCAGGCCATACGAACCCAGCCAATTGTCTCACCAGAAAGGACCTGCGCGGGTTGACATGGCGGTGCCGTACACGCGACCTACGCTGACCTACGGGGGTACACCGGGTTGACGTGGCGGCGCCGCTGCGTCTTCCACAGACCATCAGGAGCCAGGAGGTGTTCCGACCGGCACGCCGGACGACTGTAGCGCCACCCCGGCTCAGCGGACATGCCGTCACATGTCTCACCAGAAAAGGTACGTGCGCCCGCAGTTCTACGCACAATCTCGCCATCCCAATCGCAACGCCGATCCCTGAGCAGACCGCACGCCTGTGGCCACCCTAGGCCAGTCCACAGCAGGCGGCGAGACCGGCCGGGTCCGCGGGGGTCGGACCGGTGTGTCAGAGCAGGGCGCGAGGCCTCGCCGCCGGCGCGCGCCCCTCGCCGTTCGCGGCGTCCGGAGCCCACCGCGCGACACCGCCGGCTCTAAACCCCGCACGGCACTCTTGTTCGAGGAGCCCAGAGAAGCCCTCCCGTCGCTTGAAGAACTGGTCCAGCGACGGACGGCGCGATGCGTGCCCAGCCCACTCCATCGCCCGCAGCTCTCGATCCCTTGTCCAGCTCTGTCATTTGTCATGTCAGAACTCGTGTGACCACGACAGATCCGTTCAGACCTATAGGACTACGGATGATGGGCGAGCGGTGGGACAACACCACAGTTCTGCCGAGTTATCACCGGCACCGAGTCGTGCCCAGCACAGAGGCCCGATCTCGGCGTGTGTGTCGGGTGGAGTGGGGTGGGGGAGGGGTGCCCGATCGACACTCCAAACCAAGGCGACTTGGCTTGGAATGCCGGTTGCAAAACCCTGACGGCCGCGGCATGCTCCAGGTGAAGAAGGCGTGGCGAGGATGCGACATGAAGCAAAAATCGAGGTAGGAAGGGTGAAAATGTGTGGCTCCTGAGCCAAAGCGACCAAAAGGCTGAAGTCAACGCACCAGCGCGAATAGTTTAGCAACGAAAAAAAGTTTAACAACGAACTTCTCTGGGAATGGCGAAACTGAGCCTATCCGAGGCGGGAGAAGCGCTCGGCGTCTTCCCGGTGGCAGCATATGTTTGGTTATGCGACGTTCACGTTCGATCTGGAAAGCGCATCACATGTCGCATCAACACGAAAAAGCAGCGTCATCCCTGCCCGGCCTGAAGCAACCCGGCCTTGCACACCCTAGCACCGGCCTCACAGCCGCCGGCCGGCCCGTCCACCACCTGCCAAGCCGCGCCAGCGCCACCACCAGCCGGCGCTGGCGTCGCGCCGGACCCACCTGAGCGTCTGGGCGATGTTCTCCGGCCGGACGTCGCTCATCAGTCGCTGGCGCACGTGGCGCGAGCCCATCAGCCAGACGCGGGAGTGGGCGCACGGCGCCTCCAGCGACAGGAAGAGGCCGTAGGCCATAGTGAAGCCCACCACCAGGCCGATGGTGCCGGCAAACATGACGCCGGAGCAGCAGTACGCCCACCGGCGCGGCTGCACGGGCCTGTGACGAGCCGGCAGGGGTCGTCACAGCGAGAAGGCTGGACGCGACTGCGTGAAAAGGACAGGAGTCGCCCCAGGGGTGGCGGTGCCAGGCTTGGGGGAAACGCACAGGGGTCACAACAGCCGCCATTAGACGGGTCTCAGGGACGAAAAGGTGTCACAGCAGGAAGGCTGCACAGGTCTGAGGGCCGCCGGGGGTCACAGCTAGCGCCAATGTACGTGTCTGCGAATGACTTACAACGTGGTCGCAAGCAGAACCAATCTATGGTGGACGAGTGAGCTCAAACCATCATGCCCTCGCCAAATCGATAAAAAGCGTGGCCAGCTACATCCATCGTCAATACCAGTACATCACACGTTATCGCTTCATCTGTCCGCAAGAGTTCCGTGCGTCGCGTGTTTGCCAATGTTCATCACCGAAGCCCAGTAGACAGCGTACCGGACAAAAGTCGCGCCGGCACATCACGCCCACACACGGCCGTCGCCAGCGGCACGCGGCTCGACTCGCCTGTCGCGGATCTGCTTGAGCACGCTCTCCAGCGGGTGCAGCACCATCTCGTCCTCCTCGCTGGTCGAGCCGAAGTCCTCGGCCGACGAGCGTCGGTTGCGGTCCAGGCCATAGCCGCGCTGGCCCACCGGACGCAGCGGCACCCGCAGCCCGTTCGCCTCCTCATCCTCCGGGTAGATCATCAGCCGCTGCCGGACAGACCCGCCGGTCGGAGCGGGCGGGACACGATCGCCTATGGCTATCTCGGCGGCCATAAACCGCGATAAAGCACGCGCAGTCCGTACTGTATGCACAAGATTCCATCTACGCTAGGACAGAAGCCACCCGTAACGTACATTATAATTCAGAAATCGAGCATGGAATTTCACTGTCTCGCTATCTCGGTGGCCACAAGCCGCAGAAAGGCACGCACAGTCCGTACCGTATGCGCAAGATCTCATTCACGCTCGGAGAAAAAACTACCCGTAACGCACGTAGCAATTCAGAAACCGAGCGTGGCATCTCCCGTGGTAGAGGATCCTGTTAAATGCTGGGATCAGATGAGATGACCGAATGTAATGTCTCGTCTCTGTCATAGCGAGGAAAGTATCCCGCTGTGTTCTATGCTGATCCGGTGTAAGCCAACTGAGGCGCATATTTAGCCGCTCTGTTTACCACGAAGTCCGGCAACCCGTTCGAAAGGCTGCGATGTGCAGCTGGAAACGCGAGCATGACGTTACGAGGTGAACACTCCCTGACCAGCACATATACGCACCCCAGCGACAGCACTTGCCATGTCACCGATCGCACGTCAGTACTGTGCATACAGCCATCATGGGTCGGTGGGTGTCTCACAAAACACCCGGGTCGGAACACCTGCGGGACCCGCGCCGTCCGGGTTAGTTGCGCGCCGACCCTGCTCGCATCGATCCAATTCAAAAGCGGGCGGGGGGGGGGGGGGGGAGGGAGAGAAGTCCGTCTGCCGAGCGCACCACAAAGCACCGTCCTAGGTGCGCAGCTAAGCAGTGCGTGCGATTCACAAACAATTTCGTCCTGTCATCCTCACGCGACGTTACGAGACCTAAGTATCGCCCCCCCCCCCCCGCGCGCGCCTCCATCGTCCGCGGCAGACCTTGGTCCAGGTGCCGTTGACAGACGGGTACATGGCGGACGAGGTCACGCAGACGGTGTCGAGCTCACGCGCCGCAGCGGCACCCCAGCGGCCACCGCACGGCAGCGGCCACGCCGGCAGCACTGTGGCCCGGTCAGCAGCGGGGTCAGTCAGCCCGGCACCGCGTCACCGCCTCGCATGTCATCGCTGTTGTCTGGTCGAGCCGCTGCTGCCGCCGCCGCCACCGCTGACTCGCAGGGCGGTGTCGGTGCGACGATGACCGGAAGAAAGACCAGGTTGGCCACTTGCGTTCCCAAGACGGAAAAGCGGTCTTTCCGAGCCCACAAAAGATCGCGTCACTCGCGGCTGCACCTCGCCATTCACTCCACGGCCGTCAGACCGCCGTGCCGGCACTGGACGGTCAGTAACGCGGCGCCGAACCGTCCCCGCGCCCGCTCCCCTGCGCCGCCGCCGCGTGACTCGGCGCCGGGAGCTGGCGCGTCGGCGGCCCGTCCGCCCGGCTAATGCCGCCGCCGCCTGGCGCCGCCCTGAAGGTGAGCGGAGCCCGGCGGCGGCGGCGGCGGCCAGGTGTGCGTCGGTCCCGACAGCTGCGCACGGCCGGCGGCCCTGTCACTCGGGCCGCCGTGAGCCGTCGGCCGGCACGCCCGGCCGGCTAATACAAACAGCGAGCGGGAGGCAGGCCCACTCCGGGGCACTGGCAGCGCACAGCCGTCACCAGGCACGGACGGGGCCGGGGCCGAGGCTTGGGATGGTGTAGTCTGGGTAGGGACGGGACTGGCTCAGGCTTCTCACTACTTAAAATAGTCCCATCTAAAACACGACCCACCCTGGTTGGACTGGCCTGACCCAATCCAACAAGCCCTAGTTATAAGTAAGACCTGGCAATGTTCAGTCTTGCCTGGCCTGGCATGACCCGGCCTGGCCCATCTGGTCATGTCTAATGTTACATATTTGCATGGTTCACGAGCAGTAACCAATCTTTCCGGACAACACTATTGATAAAGAAGGCACCAGGTAGAATCAGCCTACTGTGGCGCCACCTTGGTTGCCATGCACACTACAAGCTTCAGTTTCCTTCGATAGACATGTGAATGAGGTGTATTAAAGGCACCCAAAGACATCAACAGCATTACTGCTTATTGCAAAGGGCACTTTCTGACACTCATAATGAGATGTTTTCATACAGGACTCTACCCAAACAGGAGCAGGGAAGCTGTCAGCAAAACCCCCAATGCTTGCATGTGGGAGCAGGTGTGCTGGCAGAATGGCAATTCTACCTGCTTGCTATGCTGGATTAGGACCTCCCCAGCCTACCAGGCAGAGGGTGGGGCTGGGGCTTAAACATCATCTCATCTCATCTCAGCTCAACATCATCAGAGGCATCCTACAAGGATGCCAGGACATGGATGAACTCTGGAAGGATGCAGGGACCAACACACTTCATCTTTCATTAGCCATCTACCTGATCAAGTGTCAATCAAGATGTTCACTGTTTACCCTAAGGTGTACTGTCAGGTTCCCAGGCTGCTGACTGTGCCTCTACAGGTCAACATCCATGCCCTGCTCAAGTGGTAGCCACTGGCTGGTGGCCACCTGCCACCTGGTAGCATACAGCATGAACCAGGTCCCTTAGTGAGCCTCACCTGTAATCCACATCACAGCTTCAACTGAAGGCCACTGACTTATTGATGCACAGAAATTGCATCCCCAGTCCCCAAAACAGATCTCAGAATTTTCATGGATTACAGATGTAAGCGCCTCACGTAGATGCTGGAGGTGATTTTGAAGGTCAACCAGATGCTGGGATCATGAGTTGGCCATTTGCCAACATTGACACTTTGACATCTCCAGACTACTGTTGGCTATACAAGTCTGTAGTTTGACCATTTTTTGAGTATGGCAACACCATATGCAGCCCCTTTAGCAGGCTGGATCGACTGGCTGGAGCAGGTGCGACAAGCCAAGCATCTTGTCCACAGAGTAAGGCAATGTCCATATCCTGAGAGGGTCTGACTCCACCTGCTCTCGCTGTACTATTGCCATTGGGGAGTGAGGCATGGTTACAATGCTCTTAATGTTTCATGGTGGCATGTTGCCATTGACTGAGGAGTTCCTGACAAGATGCAACTCACAGGTGACAAGAGGACATGAATGGAAGCCAAGAAAACCTTGAGCTAGGACTTCCACACTTCAAAACTCATTCAGTGCAAGGATCACCAATGACTGGAGTGTTCTTCCACCTGCAATGGTGTCATCAACCTCAGTCGAGCACTTAAAATCTAGGCTCTATTTACATGGGGCTGACATAATGTGTGACATCTCACGTAGACCACACCCCTAATTGAGACTGTCTAATTACCCGAGTAGGAGCCCCAAGGTACTGGAATCGACATCCCATGCTTTTTTTTAAATTCCCGCTTACCGGTAAGGGAAAATGTATAGCGTAGATGAGACGTTTGGGAATGCGTCAGCAAAATTCAGAACGGGTTTACGATACGCCAAGAAGAAAACATCACCTGTTTCTGTGTTACACTTACCACAAAATAGGATGTTCAGGCATACAGCACCCCAAATCCCACCGCTTCCCACGGCCGTTTTGTTAGACACGCATCCAAATGTATCTTGACACATGCGCACACACACCAAGCAGCATCCGGATGAGCAGATACGTCCACGCACTAATTGGCACCGTTGCGCCATTGTTGTTGATTTGGTAGCTTTCTTAGAAGCGCTGCATAAAAATAGTAAAGTACAAGTATTTGAGGTGCATGACATTTAGTTCAACACATTTATATAAGCTCAAATAGCCTCTTTGACAACGCAATCAAGATAAACGCTTGCAAGTTTGAGAGTGTTTGGAAATTCATCTCAAATATCTACCAAATTGAAAAAAACTTTACTGAATAAATATGTTTTCCGAAATACTCTCTTCCAGCGTTATAGCTACCAAATTACCTTAGACATTCCATGCGCGGCTCCCCGCCTCTTCTGCACGCTTCTGACGCGCTCCTATAATTGTCGGGTTAATACTCAGAGATTAGTGGGAGCGACGGGCGTCAAGTTATTGTTCTAAGGGCCGCTTTTCCGAAAAGTGGTCGCATTTGGGTTTCTGTCGTGCAAAAGTCAGTGTGGTTGTATTTGGGCAACCACTTAACATAGCAGGTTGGCATATTTTGGTTATTTTTCGTTACCTGTAAAGTCCACGAAGCGAACGAAAAGGTGAGTAATGTGGCGGTGTGAAATGCGACAATGCTGTTCTATGAATACAGTCCCCCGATGTGAATTTAGCTTCTGTCTTGTTTTCAAAATGAAGCTGTCTATGTCAGGTGGTTTATATTGTGCATGCAATGCTAATGACAATTACAAAACAATGTGTTGGTATCAAACACTCAAGTTCAAATTTATGGTGATCCCATGCATCCATTCCCTGCAGTATCTGCTTATGCCACAAACTGAGGGCACTTGTCAGCATGAGAAATGTGTAGGAAGTGTAATAATGGGCATTGACCAATGAAAAGAGATTATTACTTGGACTCCTTTGATTGGAAGATATTTTTTGGAGCTTTTTAGTTACAGTTGCATTTAATGGTTATATCAACACATGTGGTTAACATGTTTATCTTTGGTTTATTGTTATGTTTATTTGTCATACACTTACCGCCATTGAGCATAATTATGCTCCTATGATCAAAAATGTTTGCTTTTGCCCATATCACAAATTATAAGCTCCCACACATTGTGATGGCAACACATCTCATTGTTTTGACAGCCATGATTTATGTAAGCAATTAGTGAGGAATTTGTCCTGCTGTGTTGGCTCAGTGTGGCTACAAATGCCAGTTGTGTTGCAACATGCTTTGACAAGTGCTAGCTAGATATTGAGAAGTGCAGGATAGGTGCTGAAATTAATTGATCTTTAATGTATGTGTCATTACATCAATTAAATACAGGACAAGGTGCATGTTTCCTGTTTGTTGGGCAGAACCCTGCATGAAAGCCCCAAATAAGGCCTTTCAGCTTGACAAAAAAAAAACACCACAAAACCCCAGACACCATGCACATGAAAAAATGCAGTCAATGCAAGCTAAGCAAATCATATCCTTTTGAGTGTTCAGAAATTCATCCAGTAAAACATGCAGTGCATAAGCAAGCATAAGCATTCACTCTGCCAGAATCCTGCCTATCCATCCCTCTCTGTACATAATATGTTGGCATTTACCTGTTCCTCTTCGATCTCTGATCCATCAGCCCTGATATCAAAACTGCCCAGAATTGTTAAAATTTGTGATTCCCATACTGAGCATGTAATAGCATGCATAACTGTTAACCCAAAACCCAAGTGCCTGAATACTGAAACACTTCAGAGAACTATTTAAGTTCTCTTGAAGTCACAAGGTGAAATGGTCAGGGTGTACTTTCCTACCTAACATTAGAAAAAATCATTGTACACCATTCGTCGTGTTTAAGGCAGGACATATCGTAAATAATCTCCAAACAGGTAGAATCATGCTCCTACCTTCGAATTTCAATAACTTCGATGGCGGGCCCCCGAGCGCCACGCGCACCGCACCGCCTGGACTCCCTAGCGCCGTTTCTGCGTTGCCGTTGCGTAAATACAATATTTCTGCTTACCAAGAACTCTACAAAATGTACGGGACCAAAGTAAACCATTCGTCGTGTTTAAGGCAGGACATATCGTAAATAATCACAAAACAGGTAGATTCATAATCTTACCTTCAATTTTTTATAATTACGATGGCGAGCTCCCGAGCGCCGCACACACACAGCACCCGCGACACCGGCGCCATTACTGCGCTGGTCACAACATTACTGTGCATCAAGCAGCATCAAAAACCATAAAAATGTACCGGGCCAAGGTAACAAGAATCCATGAAATTTGATACTCGACGCCAACGGGACCATGGGTTGCAGGGGGATTGGGTGGGGAATGTAAAGCAAAATGAGAACATGACAGCTAAATAAAAGCTCACTATATGGCACCTATATATGGCATGGAACATGGACGCCAATGGGATGCTGGGTTGAAGGGGATATAGGGTGGGGAGGTTAGGTTAGGTTAGGTTAGGTTAGGTAGGTTAGGTTAGGTTAGGTTAGGTTAGGTTAGGTTAGGGTTGGGTTGGGTTGGGTTGGGTTGGGTTGGGTTGGTTGGGTTGGGTTGGGTTGGGTTGGGTTGGGTTGGGTTGGGTTGGGTTGGGTTGGGCTGGGTTGGTGGGTTGGGTTAGGTTTGGTTAGGTTAGGCTAGTGTAGGATATGTTCTGGACTATTCTGGCCTGTGCGTTTCATAAATGTACCTAAACTCGATAAGAAACGATTTTATTTGCTTTATTATTGTTACCTTGGTCCCGTACATGTTTTATGTTTCTTGATAAGCAGAAATATTGTTCTTTCGCAACAACGCAGAAACGTCGCTTGGGAGTCGAGGCGGTGCGGTGCGGTGCGTGCGGCGCTCGGGAACTCGCTATCGTATTTATTAAAATTCGAGGGTAGGAGCATGATTCTATCTGTTTTGAAATTATTTACGATATGTTCCGCCTTAAACACGAGGAATGATTTACCTTGGTCCCGTACATTTTGTAGAGTTCTTGGTAAGCAGAAATATTGTAGTTACGCAACGGCAACGCAGAAACGGCGCTGGGGAGTCCAGGCGGTGCGGCGCGCGCGGCGCTCGGGAGCCCGCCATCGAAGTTATTGAAATTCGAAGGTAGGAGCATGATTCTACCTGTTTTGAGATTATTTACGATTTGTGCCGCCTTAAACACGACGAATGGTGTGCAATGATTTTTTCTAACGTTAGGTAGGAAAGTACACCTACAGTGGTGAAATTACCTAAATATAAGGAGAAAATGCACTTGAGTGTAGGCAAGGATGATTGAACCTGATGATGTGTGTCAAAGCTGATGCCAAAGAAGCAAAGTAATTAATTCCCAGGTGACACCCTCCTTAGGTTTTAACTTACTAATCATAGGTGCAGTAATTCACGCACATTATGACACATTTGTGCTGCCATCCACGCATGACTGCTGCCTCTGTGTGACGCCAGCTGCCTGGCAGGCCGCGTCTGGCATGAGGGCGGCAGCCACGCTCGGCTGCGTCGCTGCTCTGGGCACTCCGCTCGCGGCGGCGCTGCTGTGGGCGCTGGTGCGGCTGCGGCGACGGCCGGCGGCGCCGCTCCCCGACCCGGCCACGCGCGTCAGCCGCAGCCTGCAGGCCGAGTACGGCGACCTGCGCCACCTGGTGCCCGAGCCGGTGCTCGGTGCTGCGGCGGACTTCCACCGCCGGCTGGTGGAACTCTGCGTCGAGCACACCGCGCACCTGGTCAGTCGCCGGCGCGCGTCCGTGCGGGGTTCTCTGTGGCGGGGTGGTCTGGTCAGCCCCGGCGCTGGGGCCACTATTTGGTCATGCTCTGACGTGCACCGTGCGCGGCGGGGCTCGTGGCACTCCATGGCACCCCGTCGCACCATCTCGGCGCTAGGATATTACGCGGTGGCACTCTGTGACCTGGCGGGACTTGCGCGTTCGGGTCAGCGCGACACGCGGTGTTTCACAAGCATGCGGGCACGTGTACAGCTAGTCGACCGCCGCGTCTTGCTTTGCAACTATGCAAGGGAACCCTGAGTCTTCCAGCCTACGTTCACTAAACCGGAGTCCGGAAGACCGGAGACCGGAGACCGGAGACCGGAGACCGGAGCTTAGACCAAGGGAGGCGGCTTGCCTGTCCCAGGCGCTGACCTGTGGGCCACGCTCCGACGTGATGGGGGCTGTTCGGTTCGTGCGTAACCGGCCTCCGCCGCCGGCAGCCGACGTACCAGCGCCGCGTGCTGGACGTGCTGTCGGGCACGGCTCGCACCAGCCTCGAGCTCAGCCGCAGCTTCGAGCAGGTGGTGGGGCTGGAGCCCGACCGCGACCTGCTGCAGCTCGGCCAGCAGCTGCGCCAGGTCGGCCACTGCGTCTACAGCTTCTCCGAGGAGGGCGGCGACGCGGCCGTTCCGCTCACCGCCAAGCTCGACCACCAGTTCGTGAGTGGTGGCGTGCTGGGGCGGACAGGGAGGCCGGGGGTGGTCCGCCGGTATGAAGGCTGCGGCTGGCGGCGTGATGGCTGTGGCCGTCGCGCGCGGTGACATCTGACCGGACCAGGGTGGTATGGTGCAGCCGTGGATAGAAACCGAGGTGCAGGTGTGGCTGAAAGTCTTGTAGCTTTGCTCAAAGTATTTATATGTGGAATATGGACTCTTCCGCTGTCACATGCCTGCTGTCCATATTTGTACCCAGTTTGTGGGCCTCCTTGCTGACAGTTTTTCATCACTGAAACGGCAACCCCGAAACGTTTGTATGTTCGGGACCTGATTTGTCTTGTCTCCGGCAGCCTATGCTTCATAAAAAGTAACGGGGAACTGGATCAGTTTGGATGGGATAGTCCGGAGTCAACGTTCTTTGTTGCTTTTCAGGTCCGCTGGTTATGTTGTACTGGTGGAATGATCTATGCATCACGCGTGCGACGCGTTGCGTCTGTTTGGTCGAAGCGTAATGGCATTACGGTTCGACCAAGCAGAGGCTACAACATCAGCCATTGTACATCGCATTCTACAGAAAGGTCGCTTTCAGAAACATTCCCCAATAGGTCTTATTCTGGTGGCCTTCAGGGATGGTGACTCATTCTGTAACGCCCGGCCTCTGACGCGGACGTGTGTGAGCAGGAGTGTAAGCGGATGGGGTTGCGGTGGGACACCCCTGATGTGGGCGGGCGTCGACAGGAGTTAGAGCGGGTGAAGTTGTGTGGCGCCCCTGACGCGGCGGATATGTGTCGGCAGGAGTGTGAGCGGGTGAAGTTGTGTGGCACCCCTGACGCGGCGGATATGTGTCGGCAGGAGTGTGAGCGGGTGGAGTTGTGGGGCACCCCCGACGCGGCGGATGTGTGTCGGCAGGAGTGTGAGCGGGTGAAGTTGTGTGGCGCCCCTGACGCGGCGGATATGTGTCGGCAGGAGTGTGAGCGGGTGGAGTTGTGGGGCACCCCCGACGCGGCGGATGTGTGTCGGCAGGAGTGTGAGCGGGTGGAGTTGTGGGGCACCCCTGACGCGGCCGATGGGTGTCGGCAGGAGTGTGAGCGGGTGGAGTTCTGGCCGGACGACCCGTGTCAGCTACCGCGCGGCTTCAGCCAGTTCGGCTGCGTACTGGTGGCGGACACGCTTACCCAGCTCAGTGCGCCGGCCGACTTCCTGGCGGCCGTGCATCAGTACGTGGTCACCGACGGCTGTCTGGTGATCGCCTCCAACTACGACTGGGGTAGCAGCCACCTGCCCAAGGTACGTGACCGAGGCAGGGACAGCAGCCGCCCAGGGTAAGGGCAATAGCCGCAGTCCGCAGGTACGTCGTTTTATGACTGGTGTTGTACTGACGCATTAGTAGTAGAGTTGATCAGGTGCTTTCTGACAAGGTAAGAATTTAAGTGGGCGCATACGCCTATGGAATCACCATTGTCATGACAGAGTTTCGGACTAGTCTGGTTTGGGGTAACAGAAAAGGTATTTCACTCTGAGGTCGCCATAGCCCACTGTCCCTGTGTCGGCATTTAGGGCGCGCCGTCCGCGGTGGCGGCGCCCGGTGGTGCTCACGAGCGCCCTCCGCTCCGCCTCCAGAGCGCCTGGCTGGCCGTCGGCGAGGACGAGTCGACGTTCTACGCGCTGCAGACGCTGCTGGAGCCGCACTTCGAGTGCGTGGCCGCCCACTAGCGACTATGCCGCCTCCTGCCGCTCACCCTGCGCACGTACACGCTGTCCCTGCCGGAGGTGCGTGCTCCATTTGGCGGGTGCTGCGTTCTCCGGTGGCGCGGCCCACTGCGGACCGGTGCAGGTCGTGACCACGGTCTGCGGATGCTGTCTAGTGTCGTGTTGGGCGAGAGGCCTCGTGGAATGAGGGTAACGCGACATCGTGGGAGGCGATGCTGGAATGCTGGTTAGCTATCGCCACGCCTTGCCGTGATAAACTGGTCATCTGTTTTCACCAGTTATTTAGACTCAGCATTCCTGAACACTTTTATACGTGCAAAATTTTCCCCGAAGGTTTTCCAAAAAATCATACATATGATGGTCAAATATTAGTCATCATGTGTGTCTGTCCGGGGTAGGTGTATGTGCCACGCTTCAGGCGCGCTGTGTTAAACTCAATGCCGGTCAGATGTAGCGGGGGTCAACCGCCAGTCGGCGGCCCTCACTGCGCGTGGAGGCTCTCCGTGATGCCTTGGCTAGATCATGTGAGAGCCGCGATGATCGACTGCCGCCAACCACCTCTCAGCACCGAACAGCGTTGGCTCCGCGCTTCGGAACGCGACCTGACTGCGACTGGGCGCTGAGGGCGCTCAGCCCGGACTGCCCTCACTGCCGCTGCCGGCCGCCGCAGTTGCACGGCGGCTGCGGCGTGAGCGCTCGCCGATCACGGCAGAAATGTCGGCCGGCCGTGACGGCACGCGTCACACCCGGTGGTGCCGGGGCTGCGGAGCGCAAGCTGGGGTCGGGTCTGGGGAAAGACGAGCGTGCGGTCGCGCCCCGCACGGGCAAATCGTTGGAATACGACACCGGCGGTTGTCTTATGCCGTCGCCTCCTTTGACTTGATGTGAGTGTGTGCTCTGATCAGGCTTGTAGCCAAAATTTGATTTGGGCTTGGAGGGGTTTGATGAGGTAGATGTGAAATTTTCTCCGAACCCTAGCGAATGACACCAAATTCCTACGAATGCCCGCTATCTAGAGTAAACCTCTTGACTCAGAGAAGTGTGGGGGGGGGGGGGGCGTGACCCCCTTGGCCTTCCCGTCGGCTACGTCTGTGACCCTGGCTCTTCCTGGTGCAGGCGGCAGAGGCTCAGTTTGCCCAGAGTCTAGCTATGGTTCAGTTCGAAGCACCCGTATCCCCTTATTGTGCTGACCCATGTGTGGTGTCCGGCTGGATGGCTGAAAAATGTGCTGATCCAATCTTAGCTGCCCAGCATCGTAATGACAGCGGTGGAAACAAGTGAGCCGCCGCCAAATTAAAATGCTGCTCTAATCGATGTCGCATCGATGTGAACAATCGGATGTTGATTGCACTTCTTGGTGATCTATGAAGCGGCCTTAACGAGAGTATCGGCGCGCGTGACTGAGGCTTTCGATCTAAGCTCGGTTTCCCCGCGGAAGGGATCGAAGGTGGATTGAGTGGTCCTGATTCGGTCATTGCCGTATAAAACATTCACTGTCCCGACTAACAGTAAGTTAAATAAGCCTGCCCCAAAAGAGCTGTGAGGCGACACTGGTTTATGGCTGTGCTGTAATGAGCCTGACACATTCGCTTACTTGCATGTGTCTCCTGGTTTGCATTCGGCGTAGCTTGCCGCGCCGGTGTGTGACTGTATCACTGCCGTGTGCGTCGGCAGGTGTCGGTGTGGCGGCGCAAACATGACAGAGAGCAGCAGGTGTAGCGCGGCGCCGGCCGAACCGGCGCCCTGCAAGAGGCCGCGCCTCAGCCGGCAGGAGTCCCCGGCCGACGACGAGCCGCGCCGCCAGCTGCACGCGCGCGCCCTGCTGGGCTGCCTGTGCCCGCTGCCGGCTGGCCGGCTGCCGGCGCTGACCGCCGAGCTGGCCGCCGCCGACCATCGGCGCCGCCTGCTGGCGCTCAGCTCCCTGCAGCTGCTGCAGCAGGCGGCGCTGCACCAGCTGTGCCAGGGCAGCATGTGCCGGCGGCTGCGAGGCGCCGTCAGCGGCCAGTGCGAGGCGGACGAGCCGCTGAGCGCGGCGCTGCTCGAGCTGCTTGGCTCGGAGCGGCCGCTGATCAGCTGCGCCGCCGGCCGCTGTCTGGCGCTCACCGCGCTCCTGCTGCCGCCCGAGCGCGCCCAGCACCTGCTCGAGGCGCTCGTGGCGACTGTGCTCGAGTCGGAGCGGCCGCTCGAGGTGTGCCACGCGCTGAACGCGCTGCAGTGGCTCATCGAGCAGCACGAGGACGAGCCAGACGTCGGTGGCGAGCGGTCGCGGCCGCGGCCGCCGCCGGCCGGCTGCGTCGTGGTCAGCGTGGCGCCCGACGCCGAGGCGCTCACCGAGATCAAGTGCTCGATCACGGCGCTGCTGGAGAACCGATGGGTGCCG